TTAGATTGATCCCAGTTTACCTCAGGCCCCCCGAACCCCCCTCCCCCTAACGCCCCATGGGGTAAAAAGATATAGAAAGAATGACATAAACGATACTACCGGCTCCTTGAAGGACAAAAATAAGGCCAAAATGTGTATGGACAATTAAATGATTAAAAAGGTTTTGAATTGCCTTTAATGCCCCTGCAAGTTAGCCTAACCTATCCTTCTGTGTCTGCAACCCCAACTGCCCAACCTATCGCTGCACTCGAACTCAACTTCTTCCTGCTCGTAGAGATGGAGGCATTGACATTCATGTTATTTCCATGTTTATATTTGTGTTTTTGATTAGTTTTGAGTGATTGTTACTCTAGAAATTACACACTTTTGGTGTAATAGTTTAGTTTGTAAAATGTTTGTAAATTGTTTAGATTAGGTTTGTTCTGAGCTCAAACAGGTCCAAGACCACTCTAGGGACCATTGGTGAACATCACAAGTGGAAGGAAGGTGCAGAAATTCCAAAACAAAATGAAGATCCTGATTTTTGGTGTTGTACCCGGTCGAGTATGCCGTATACTCGATCGGGTAAGTTGCTGAAAAATCAAATCGGATAAATCTGCGAACAAGGCAACATGCAGGGGAGATTTTGACCACGATCGAGTGTCCATACCCGATCGGGTAGCCGACATACTCGATCGGGTATATCCACGTTTTTCTAGCTTCCACGAAACAACTGAAGGCCCGGTCGAGTACCCTATATACCCGATCGGGTACACGACCCTGCAGGCCTAAAAAACCTATAAATACACCCCATTTCCTCCACAATAAATCATCAATTCCTATATACTTCTAAGCTCAGTTCAGACAAGTTCTTTCTTTATATTTTTATCATGTTTAGTCTCCAAATGAGGAGCTAAACTCTTCCATCTTGGTTTTGCTACTTTGAAGCTTAATGATTTGTAAGTTGTGAGTTATTTTCTTTAATCTTCTTCCTTGAATATTAATTACTTCCTATTCATATCCCATATTAATATATTGAGCATTACTTAAAGTATCAACTAGTCTTGTTCTATATATTAGTTATTACTAGAATCAATCGGTTAATACGCTTGTTATTAATTCGGTTCTTTCAATGGTAGTAAACTTGGATTGCTAATGCATGCTTCTCATGGTTAATAATCTAAGGGGAATTATTTATATTGATTAAACCAATAAAACGCTTGTGTTGAGGTTATCAATCTCAATCGTTTTCATCTTAAGTTTATTGCTACTATCAATTTAATATACGGCGCTTGTCCCATATTGACTCGACAGTAAGTTTTATTAATGAACGCATCTCGTTATTAATAACTACCCTCGATGAATTGAATATACTCCTCGATTGAGTATTCGAGAGGAAGATAGTTAAAGATATAACCGGGATCGACGAACATTTCATTAAGTGGATAAAAGCAAAGCCAAGTCTTCTTCTCATTAATTAAACCACATAACTCGTTCATCTTCGTGTTCAATTTTAATTAAATCATTCAATCAAACCCCCCCCCCCCCCCTTTTATTTATTAGTTTATAAAAAGAGAAGTATTCATTTCCCTGCGGATACGAACCTTACTTCAATATACTACGTATATTAGTTGTATTGTATTTATTTTGAGTGCACACCACGACAAGTGCACGTCAAATTTGGCGCCGTTGCCGGGGAAAGGCAATTATTTTTTCTTTTTATTTTATTTAAAAAAAATCAAAAAAAAAATTTAATAAAAATATAAAGAGTTCTTATTCTTCTATTTTTGAGCTTGGTGAAGTATATGGTCAGATATCGTTCAATCAACGAAATCACTTATCAAGCAAACCCCGAAATAATACAAGCCTTCGAGAGGTTGAGAAATTTATTTCCGCACACACCCTCGGAGGAATCCTCAAACGCTAGCTCTAGTTCTAGCGAATCTGAAGAGCCAATCACTATGGCTCAAGAAACAAGAACACTGAGGGAGCTCACGGCTCCAAACCTGAATCAACAACCATTGTGTATTACCTTCCCCACTCTTGATGAGGGTAATACATTTGAGCTCAAATCGGGGCTTATTCATCTTCTTCCTTCCTTCCATGGCTTAAGAGGGGAGGATCCAAATAAGCATCTCTCGGAATTCCATGTTGTTTGCACAAGCATGTGCCCCAACGGAGTTACCGAGGAGCAAATCAAGTTGAGGGCTTTTCCATTCTCCCTCAAAGACACCGCAAATGATTGGTTATTCTATCTTCCCTCGGGAAGTATAGGTACATGGGCGGCCATGAAGAAAGCTTTTCTCGAGAGGTACTATCCCGCCTCCGTCTCCTCATCTCTTAAAAAACAAATTAGCAATGTGGAGCAAAATGATGATGAATCGTTCTATGAATATTGGGAACGGTTCAAAAAGCTTTATGCAAGCTGTCCATACCACGGCTATTCGGAGCAAGACCTCATCCTATACTTTTATGATGGTCTTTGCAATGATGATAGACGAATGATCAACGCCGCATGTGGGGGAGGAATCGTCAACAAAACACCTTCCCAAGCAAGAGACCTCATCTCGAAGTTTGCCGAAAACTCGAGACACTATAGCGGGAGGTCATCAAAAAAACGAGTGATGGCAGCAGAGTCCAACACCTCGTTGGAAAGTCAAGTTGCCGGCTTGACTTCTTTGGTTAAGGATTTCCTTTTAAATTCCAAGACCCAAGAAGTCAAGGTCTGCGGCATTTGCACACAACAAGGGCACCCAACCGACTCATGCCCAACGCTACAAGAAGACAACCTCGAACAAGTCAACGCTTTGGGGTTCCCAAATCAGAAAAGGTACGACTCCTATGGCAATAATTATCATCCCGGGTTTAGAGATCACCCCAATCTTCGTTATGGGAATCCGCAAGGAAACCCACAACAAAATAACCCTCCACCAAATCAATTTCTTCCAAATAAACAACCATACTCTAAACCCCAAGGCCAAGGCTCAACTATGTCCACCGAAGACATGATCCGAGCACTCACCTCAAATGTCTCAACCATGCAACAAAACATGGTTCAATTCCAACACGAGACAAAATCAAGCATCCAAAACCTTGAGAATCAAATGAGCCAAATATCAAGCGCGGTGAGTAGGCTTGAAGCCAAGGATTCAACAAAGCTTCCATCTCAAACGGAGCCGAATCCTAGGCAACAAGCCCATGCGGTGACATTGAGGAGTGGCAAAGAATTGGTGATTGCCAAGGAGAAAGCCAAAAGCCACATTGGCGAGGAAGAGGAAGAGGAGCTTGTGGATAAAGCTCAACCGGAGGAAGAGGAAGCTTACATCTCAACTCCACCCCCGGTTATTCATGAAGTGGAAGCACCGTTTCCCGAAGCTCTAAGGGAAACGAAAAGGGTGGAGAAAGACAAGGACATCTATTAGACATTCTCCAAATGTGAGGTAAATATTCCTCTTCTTAACTTAATAAAAGGTGTTCCTAGATTTGCAAAATTTTTCAAAGAGTTATGCACAATAAAAAGGAAGCATAGACTCAATGGAAAACAAAAAGTCCAAGTTAGTGAACGTGTTTCCGCGGTTTTTCAAAAGAAACTTCCAAAAAAATACAATGACCCGGGCATGTTCACTATACCTTGTAAGTTGGGAGGTACTACGTTTTCAAAGGCCATGTTAGATTTGGGAGCATCGATTAATGTCATCCCTTACTCTTTGTATAAATCACTTGAACTTGGCCCTCTAAATGAAACCGGAGTGGTTATTCAACTTGCGGATAGATCAAATGCCTACCCTAAGGGCATTGTCGAAGACGTACTAGTTATGGTAGACAATTTGATCTTCCCCGCCGACTTTTATGTTTTGGAAATGGAAAATGATAAGAATGTGGTTCCTATTCTTTTAGGAAGGCCATTTTTAAAGACCGCTAGAGCTAAAATTGATGTTTTTAGCGGATCTTTAACAATGGAATTTGATGGAGATAAAGTTGAATTCAATATTTATGACTCCATGAAATACCCAAATGAAAATCATTCTCTATTTGCCATTGATATTATTGACCCCCTTGTGCAAAATACTTTTGAAATGAATGGGGAGGATGAACTACTAAGTGTGATTGAGAATGACCTCGGGGAAAATTCTTTAGAACTTGCTTTGACCCCCAATATACAAGCCATGATGGTGGAATTGGATAACCATTTCCAACTTCCACTTATGCCACCGGGGTCAAGAGCATTCCCACTAACCATCCCCGAGGAAAAGCCTTTGCCCTCCATTTTGCAGGCCCCCGATGTTGAGATAAAGCCACTCCCAAAACACTTGAAATATGTGTTCTTGGGAGAAAAAGAAACATTACCGGTCATAATCTCAAACAAATTGACCGGAGATCAAGAAGAGAAGTTGATTGCGGTGCTTAAAGAGCACAAACTTGCAATCGGATGGACTATAGCCGACATCAAAGGCATTAGTCCATCTACTTGCATGCACCGCATCTTGATGGAGGATGAAGCCAAGCCGGTGCGCCAACCACAACGGAGATTGAACCCACCTATGATGGAGGTAGTCAAAAAGGAGGTCATCAAGCTTCTCCAAATGGGGATAATCTTCCCCATATCCGATAGCAAGTGGGTTAGTCCAACCCAAGTTGTTCCCAAAAAGACCGGAGTCACGGTGGTGGAAAACAAACATGGAGAACTTATGCCCACCCGAATTCAAAATGGATGGAGGGTATGCATAGATTACCGTCGCCTCAACGCGGTAACAAGAAAGGATTTCTTTCCCTTTGTAACACCCCAATTTTAGCGATCTAGTTACATTACTCTTTTATTTTATTTAGTCAGTTAAATAAGTTTCTTCTATGAATAATGTGATGTTCTTTTATCATGTTTTTTTTTGTGGCAGGTAACGTTGACCGGTAAGCTCATAATAATTTTAACAAAAGAAATAAATGCTATCCCATTATCTATTTAGTATATTACTAAAAAGGTAAATATCATTATTTGGTTGGGTCACAAGTATTTCATAGAGAATTAAGAGACCTAAACCAATTATCTTGGCCCGGATAAGTATTTTACAAAAATCCCTAGAAAGAAATATTTCATCCGTCCATAGAATTTGCAGCAGCGGCTCTTTATTCCTCTTCCTCTATCAAAGAAATTTCTCTCTCTCTCCCAATTTGTGTACACAGCTGAGAACTAAAACCTGGTAAGTTGTATACTCCCTACTTTCGTATATTATTGTTCCAAACTCGTGAATTCAATTAGTATAGAAGAATTTTTGAGTTTCCTTTGTAGGATCATTACTCCGTGTCTTGAAATTCTCCAATTCCAATTCCAGCTAGTTCATTATTCCAATTCCAGCTAGTTCATTATTTCAATTCCAGCTAGTTTTGAAAAGTGGTATCTGAAATTTGAATTCTTTGATCAGTTCAGAACTTTCACCGGTAGGGTGCAATAGATATGGTCATACGAATTTATTTTTCAGATTTTAATGGGAAATTAAGTTTTCAGGTCAATGATTCCTTAAATAACTTCTATCTTGTGGCTCTGCTATTTTCTTACGTAATACGTGCAGGAAAAAAAAAAAAATCTGATTTTTCAATCCCAACTGCTCGTATTTTGTTAGTCTTCGGTTCCATATAGTTAGATAGGTGATAATTTTTCCTTATGTTTTGTTAATAAAATTTTATATGCCCAACTTGAGTGGGTTTCATATCGATCAGTTTAGTCTTCTTCATAACATGAGTTTGGTGCTGCTCATAAATCAGGAACATGTGTGTTTAGAAATCAGATCTATTTTAGAGAAAGATAAAAATACTATGGCCTACAGATTTTGGTGTGCTACGGTAGATGTATTTCAGTCACACATTTTTAGTTGGTCATGGCAAATTCTTACTTGTATTATTACATATATTAAAGATTTATAAGAAGAGCCTACCGGAAGACGTTATCAAGGTGCCACACTTATTTGGGTATTTTGGGTTCAGCTCCTCAGGTAAGTTCACTACCACCTGTACATGTTTGTTCAACCAAATGCAAGAAAGAAGTCTGGTTGATTTTTAATAGATAATTTTAGACTATTTGCTATTATGTGAACTATGTGAATTATGTGATGAGTTATTTTATTTGTTGGATTAAGTTATGTTTATTATCTGGCATAGTCAAGATTTGTCAGTACTTTTGTTTTCAGATTTAATGATGTTTTTAGTCAAACGCCACCACAAAAAGAACTAATACTTAAAGTGAAAGATAATGTGATATGTACTCGGGAACTAGTTCCCTCAGATTAGCAGTTTTAGTTTTAGATAGTCCGATATGTTTAGTGGGTCGCTCCCCTGAGCTGTCGGATTGGCGCCTTTGAGTACATATCACGGGCCCACAGAGTAAAATTAGCCACAAAGAGTATTACAGAAAGTTTAATGAGATCTCTTTCAGAAAGTTTTTACAGAAAGTTGTTTTTGAGATCTCTTTCAGAAAGTTGTTTTTGAGATCTCTTCCAGAAAGTTTTACAGAGATGTTTTGAGAAGAAATTTTGAGATCTCTCCAGAAGTTTTGAGAAATTATTTTAGAAAATATTTTCCTTTGGAGATCTCTCTCAGAATGTATTTGAGAAGTTATGTGTTAGTTATTTGTTCAGTGCATGCTTATATAGCCTAAATTTATCTATTGATAAATTGGCCTAGACTTCTAGATATTTTTGTGAAGCCATAGTGACTTACTAAGCGTAAAGCTTATTAGTTTTCTTTCTTCGCATGTACAGATACTAAGGGGAAGGCCAAGGCCTAGGAAGATGATGAGGGAGTGGGACGCGTGCCAAGATGAGTTAACGGGAACGACCTTGGCGACTTTTAGCTAGATATTATTTTGTTTCAGTATTTTAGTGTTACAATAAAGAGATTATTATTATTTATTTTATTTGAGGATTTAATGTTTAAATAAATTCCTGGATCCAGGTGGTTATCACATTTGCTGGTGATAACTATATTTTATTAAGTTTTTATTTGGAGTTGTTTTAGTTACTTTTAAAATTTTATCAGGGTTATTTTCTTAAATATACGGCCGTTAATTACAGTTATTTTTTTAAAAGTAGTAAGTTAGTGTAACGATTCCTTTAACCCTGAGAGGGGCGTTACAAATTTGGTATCAGAGCCCAGGTTGTCCCGTAACTTCATTCGTCACCGTACACGTGCTCGTCATCTTCCAAGTAAGTACTTATTTATGTTAAGAGTTATCTATGTGAAAATATGTTTGAGCGTTGTTAGTATGAGATACATATAAAAGTCAAGTAAGAGTAATATGTACTCAACTCGTAAAAGCTTTGTGTTATTACGAGTTATTCAGATTAAAATTGATTCGAGCGCCTATATTCTTGAGTTAGGTCTTCTATTTCATTTAGGAAATACTTACGGTTGTTATCTAAAAAGACAAAACACCATCGTTCTAGTCATACACCTCTCAAAATCACGTATTTGCAGTTTTCCACTTTAGTCTATGTTGATCTTTTATAGAAAATATTTCTCATAGAGGTTACTCATGATTAAAATTCGAGTTAATTAAAAAAAAAAGTGTCATATAGTCTTTATTTTCTCATGATTAAGTACTTGAATTATGTCACAATCAGTGCTAGTGCAACTATGTTTTTATATAGTTTGTAGTTTATTTATTCCCTAAGACATGTTAGATATTTTTTTTTAAATTAAGAAGAATAATAAAGAGTTTGTCTGATATTTTTCTAAAGGGACTAAAGCATCACATGTAATTGAGTTTACATGCTCGGCAGACCTCTCCTCATCAGAGCTCCCCCCATCAGAACCCCAAGTCTGCCTCTCCTACCCCTCAACAGCAATCCCCCAACCTTCATTCTCCTCAACACTCTATAGCCTCTACTCCTAAGAGAGAACCAGCTGTGAGGATTCTCTCTTCTTCTGAGGACAATGGTGGATTTCTCACATCCTCCTTGACTGGTGACCTCCAGTCCAACAAGAGGAAGACTCCTACTCCTCCATCATCTCCTATTCCTCAACAGCATCAAGCAAGTGAGATGCATATGCCAGAGCCTCAAAGAGAAGAAACCTGCATCCCCTTCAACGAGTTTGTAGAATCTGCAGAGGAATTTGGTGATCAAGTAATTGCTGGCTTGAACAAGATGCTAGTGCTCAATCAGAAGCATGATGCCCATCTAGATCTTGTTCAGTATAATCTTGAGTCAGATATTGCCAAACTGTCATCCAGACTCTCCATTTTGACAACCTCTCTACAAGCTTTTATGAAGACCTCCAATGAGAAAGTGGACAATATTTCCACAGAAGTTGCAAGTATCCACACTGTCCTATTCTCTCATTCCCAGACTCTCACAGCTCAAGATAAAGCAATCAAAGAGCTATCTGATGCTGTTGATGATCTCCAATGGTCCCATGACAAGAATGCAGAGCATCTGACAGATGTGGAGGAACTCTGCAAGACAAACAAGGAGTTTGCCCTGAAACTGATCAACAGTGGCAAGGACAGAGATCATAAGCTCGTCCTTCTTGAAGCCAACACCAAAAATATCCAATCAGCTGTGGACAAGCAAAAAGAGCTGATAGAAGGGTTGGCCTCTGTGACTCAGACTCTCCCTGGCGTTCTTGAGACAATCAAAGAAAATAATGCAACAGAATTCTCAAAGATCAGACTCCTGCTTGGTGATCTTGTTGATGCCAAAAAGGGGGAAGATACTAGAGAACAGGCCAGAGCTACCGAAGGCCCAAGCTCCAGGTCTCTATCTGTCACTCCTGTCTCTGATCCTGCCATATACTATGAGAGAGCCAGGCAGAAGAGGCTTGCTGCAGGGATTCAGAGACCACCTCCTCCTCGATCCAAGAAAGGAAAGAAGACGGCCTCCACTTTCACTCTCAATCAATGGCTAAACAGTGATCTGTCTAACCCTGACTCTGCCCAGTTCTCTGAAATAAAGAAGCACATGACTCCTCTGCAAAAGGAGAACCTTATTCAAGATAAAGATGGTCTTATCATAATCAATCATGGTGGCTCAGTCCAAGAAGCTGAAGAATGGTGGAGAATGAGAGTGACCCCTGGCAAGGACATCTCAGAAGCCATCAGAAACTACTTGGATTGCAAGCTTGAAACTCACTGGTCAGAGTATCAGAATCCAAGGAACCTGGCTACCATCAGAGCTAGAGTAAATGAAGAGCTCAAGAAGGCTGAAGAAGCAGAGAAACGATTAGAAGAGGAAGGTTTCTAATCTCTATTCCCTTTTGCTTTAAATTCTTGCTGATATATATGAAATAACCATCTTGCCTCTAATTTGAATGGCAATTTCAAATTCTGTGTTCCTTACTGCTTTATGTATTCAATTCATTTATTTATGCTTTGACTGATTGTATCGTACTCTTGCGTTTTTCCTATGCAAAGTGCCCACCAAGATTCTAAATGAAAAGTTTTTACTTTATTTTCTGTTATGGTGAAAGGCACTTCTCTAGAAATAGTTTAAGGGTTTTGGCATCATCAAAAAGGGGGAAATTGTAAGGAATAAATGTAATTAGATTTTGGTGATGCTAGGATAGATTAGAATGTTAAAGTACCCCTTATAGAAATTTTGTATTAGAATTTCTCTTTGTAAGTTTTAGAGTAGTCGACTGGTCAGAGACCCTCTTGATTCTCTCATGAGAGTTGCTCTTCAGAATAACATCAGAGTTGCTACCAGAGCTGGTTCATCAAAACATCATCAGAGATGCCAGCATAGCTACTCATCAGAGAAGCATCAGAGTTCGTCGCCAAGCTTCATCAGAACTCAACTTCAGAGAAGCATCATAGTTCCTCATCTAAGATCAGAATGCCATCAGAGAATCTCATCAGACTTGGATAGACACTTAGAAGATTTTGAAGCTGCTTTCAACAGCCGTATAACAAACGGGAAATTTCCTAACGGCTAGAAGATCTTACATGAAAGGAAAGTAATTAATGCTCAATTATGGAGCCTGATACGCTGTGGAGTAATTGCTGATGATTGGACCGAGATTTTTGGAAGATACATTACAAAAATAGAAACCTTCCAAGTTTGCGAGTCCAAGCAGTCAAATCCACAGTACGCGCATTCAATGCAGTTGTCTCCTCCTCCAACGGGCAGGCAACTCCCAGTATAAAATGATACTCATTGAAGAACAATGGACAACTTTGCTACAACCTCTGCTATCACTTTCTTGAGATTCAAATTCACATTCATTCTACAAAAAAAGCATACGTTGGGAAGATTAAACAACTCAAATCCTCCAATCCCAACGACGAGCAAAGTTTCTCCAGTTCTTCAACACTTCAAGATCTTCATCAACAAATCTTTTGTGACGAAGCTAGTTGGAGAAAAACTCTGTTTTTCCAAACATCTTCTGCTAAGAAGGGCGTCCAAGTAACTGCAATAGTGAAGTGGTGATACTTCCGGGAAGTTGAGTGAAAGGACCAGTCATCAGGAAGCAGGACTGCATCCCGGGTGACAACTAGGCTTGAAGAAGACGTGGAGAACTTCTTAGGCGCTAGGGACTAAGGCTTGTAACTGTCGCTTTACAATCTTAGTGGAACAGTGGACTAGAGGAACGCGTTGTTCCTTGAACCACTATAAAATCCCTGGTGTCATTTACTTTACTGCATTTTATTCCTGCACTTAGGACTCTAAGTGTATAACTCTTAAAGACTTGGAATCTGTGTTCAGCAGATCTTGTGTTAAGAGTTATCAGAAAGGCATTTGCCTTAGTATTTTCTTGAGGCTACCCAGACAGACTTTAATCCGCTGCCTGGTCCAGTTCTGCCATCAGAACTCGACCATCTCTGTCATCAGATTTGGACCACCTCTTATAAGTCAGTTTTGACTTAGAGAAAAATCTGTAAAAACGGAGCAGTCTATTCACACCCCCCCCCCCCCCTCTAGACTGCTTCATACTTAAACGGGACCAACAGAGCTAACTCTCAACAATGTGTTGTACGTCCCGGAGATACGCAAAAACCTGATCTCGGGCTCATAGTTGAACAAGCATGGCTTCCGCATGGTCTTTGAGTTGGACAAACTAGTTTTGTCTAAATCGGGAATGTATGTGGGCAAGAGGTATGCAGTTGATGGGTTGTTTAAGCTCAATGTAATGACTATTATTGATAATAATAATAATAAAATCTCTTCTGCTTACTTGCTTGAGTCTTCCAATGTGTGGCATGGTAGACTAGGACATGTTAATTTTAATTCTATACGTAGATTAATTAACATGGAACACATTCCTAAATTCACATTCTAAGATAGGTATACTCCATATAAATTTTGAATAATTATTGAAAACGAAGTATTCCTGGAATAGTAGTGTAAAATTGTAGAATTTCAAAATACAGATATTAGAAGTAGCACATTGACATCTTACATTTGATATTACCAGACTTTAGTGTGTTATATTATCCAATATCCATACATTACTTAAGAGAATAAAACTTATATTTTGAAATGAAAGTATAGTACCAATTTGACTTTACTCGTAGTAGTTTCCACCGTACTGTCCGTGATGAAGGTACATGACTGTACATGAATGAATGAAGTATTCTTAATTATTCTTACTACATCCCTACATGACCGTACTTGATATATACACAATTGTGATTAATTGGTCCACAAATTATGACATTTTGTCCACAATTCCACACCATGCTGGATTATTCTGGAATCCTCTCAAGTACTGGAGAAAGTGGAACAAAAAAAAATGAGATTGGGTAAAAGAAGGGTGGTGCGTGTGGATAGTTAGAGCATCTTCAATGCTTTCGGTGTGTTGGAGATGATTTGTCATCCAAATGGAAAGAGTCTACTTTCTTCTTGGATGATTTGTCAATCCAAGGTCCATCAGTGGACTTTGTGCAAGACTTTGGTTTTTTCTTTCTTTTGCCAACTTAATTGACCCTCTCCATTTTTTTGTTGCATTGAATAACACATTTACTAAATGGAAGTGTATTTGGTGAGATGGAGATGCAATCCACCTCTTCATAGAAGATGGAGTCATGGAGAGCAGTTGAAAACAAGTAATCGAGTAACAGGGATATACTAGCAAAAGGTTAAACTTTTTGTCGAGATACTACTAGTAGACAATAGTCGAAGAACTAAAAATTGAAAAATTGAAAATTGAGTAACAAAAGTTTCACCAACACGAAAGTAACAGAAACTGTCACAAACGGAGTATTAACTTTATGCATGTTTTTTTTACCAGGGCTCTATGCATGGATAAGAGATTGATGAGCTAATTAAAACGGTTCTAGCTAGAATTGACTTAACTGTGGATTTTGGGCGTGACCGTTGCCCTTGAATAGACCACCATGTACTTATAAAAAGCCGGAATCTGGAAAAAGTCAAAACACTATTAGAAGCAACCATTTCAATTACTGGACAGAATTAAATTTACATTGTTAAATTTGAGACATTGTTTTTTTTTTATTTTAGGTGGCAAACGTTCTATTTTTGGATCAACCAGCGAATACAGGATTTTCATATGCCACAACTCCAAATGCCGCCCGTTTTACTGATTTGGAAGCGTGCGACCATGTCTATGACTTTTTGCAAAAGGTACTATCTCGGTTCATATTTACATGTCACCTAAATTATTGTTTCCTAGACTTTAGAAAAAAAAGGATGACACCCCATCCCTGAGGGCCCCTAACACCGACTGGACGGCACGATAGGAGGATGTAAATTGGACTATAATCACAATCTAACAGATAGAGAGTTGGGCTCCGTCCCCGGTACTTGCAGAGGCCCTATGCATTTTTAGCATAGTAACCTCTCGTCGCGGTTGTCGGGATTTGAACCTGGGACCTAACCCTTGTGGCATTCCCTCACTACCAGTTGAGCTACGCCCACCGGTCTAGACTTTCTAGTCTATTACGGAGTATACTATATGTTTGATATTAAAGGGAAGGCAGAGGTGACGGCCATTTGTCCGAATCTTAAGAGTGAATTATAGAGAACTGGAGAGTAATTATAAATGAGAAGGGGACGGCTGGGCTTGAGTAGAAGAACAAAGAAGGGGGAGTGGGATAAAGAAAAGAAGGGGAAAATACCCAAATATTACAGTACTAAAATTTACTAGGTATTAGTTTTCCTAGAAAATGACCATTCATGTTTTTTATGTCTCGTATGACTTAAATCATTACTAAATACATGGACATTCCAATTATTAGCCACGTTAAGTATTTCATTTCCTACTTATTAGGGATTAAAATGAATGGAATACTCTAAGTTGCATAAAAATAAGAAGAATGATGCACAGATACTAACACATGCACAGATGGATAATAGCATTCTGGTAAAATAACATTAAGTAGTCATATTTTAGGAAAACTCATTAGTTTTAGTAATATTGGTGGTAATTCTCTCAAGTAAAGAAAGCAGGGGAGTGGCGTTTTGCTTGTACAGAAGAAGAAAGAAGCCTGAAGAAAGAGGAGAAAAGGGGAAGAGGGGGGATTTGAGTGGAGTGCCATGTCACCAAAGTGACTAGCTAATCGGGAATCAGAATACAAATTTGACTATATTTATGTAGCAACAATGCTTGATGTATATATCCACTTTTATACCTACTTTATACCCACCATTTTGTGGATGTTTTTTTTTGTCTGTGAACCCTGGGGTCACAGACAAAAAAAAACATTTCACAAACATAGGTGTGCACAAAAGTGGGTATAAGAGTGGGTACAAAGATCATTTTTGTTTATATAGTTCATGGACTCAATTGAATGTTTTTTTAGTTGGAGGGCTAAATTGACTTTTTCGCTATATCTCGAGGGTCTATTTGATAGTTTTCCATCATGGTCATCATCATCATTATCATTATCAATTCATCATCGTCATATTATGCAATCACGAGATAACATTCTAAGTTCTAGAATATATTTATTGTTCTCTGTAGTGGTTTTTGAAACATCCAGATTTCAAATCAAATCCATTTTATGTTGCCGGGGATTCTTATGCAGGGATCGTTGTTCCAATTATAAGTGTGCTTATATCTGATGGTACGTATTTACCATATATACGTGTCTACGCATATTTAACTTTGAATATTTAACTTTGAAGCCTAACTATCTCCCAATGTAAGAATCCTATTCTTTGGGCCAACTATAGTATAGGTTTCATATTATGTGAAATTAAGTTAATACAAATTCATTGTATTGCCTTCTTTTGATCTTGTTAATTTCTAAAAGCAACATACTTCCTCCGTTCCCTTTTAATTGCAACAATCAACATTTCAAGTTTGACAATGCACAAGTTTGACCATTAATATATTTCATACATTATTAGTAAAAAAAGTTTAAAAATTCATATTTTGAAATTTTAGAATGAGAAGAATTTAACAATATTTTTTTAAAATTTAATTTATAATACATTAATAAATAAAATATAGTCAAAGTAGAATATGTGAATAGTGCAATTAAAAGAGAACGGAGGTAGTATGAAGTACTACATATATGGAGTTTGATGCACTAAACACTCTTGTGATAGTATAAATTTGGCATATTAGCCCCTGTGATTGAAAAATGTGTCAAATTCCTCATGTGTTATAATTATTCATTTGCAAAAAAAACACTAAGAACAAATGTAGTGATATTGTCAATTCTACTTATTGTATATTTGATGATCTATAACATTAAGATACATGATTTCAAAATTGTTAAATTTGTTCTTGAAAAAAAATTATACATGAATAATTATAACATAGGGAGCTGTGACACATTTTTTAAATCACATGCAGCTAATGCGCCGAACTATATATGATACAATAGCAATTAATAACAATAAGGCAAAATTCCCTAAATAGGAGTAATAAAGTTTTGCAATTCCAAAATATGTCTGTCATGTTTTTATTCCCTAAATATGAGTAATTTTTGTCAAGTTTTGCAATAACATACTTTAAACATGACAGTTTCTGCCAAGTTTGTTTTTTTCCAAACTTTGGCATAAATTATTCCTATTTAGGGAATAAAAATATGAATGTCCTAATGTAGATTTTGAAAACGTTGTTACTCTTATTTAGGATGGACAATTTCTATAACAATAATACTGCTAGGTATAATATAATGTTGGTCTCATCTGATGGCGTACTAAAACACATGAAAACATGAAGTAACCCTTGAGATCCACTTGACACCCTATAGTAATTTGGTTCGAATTGATTTCATGGAACCAATATGAAAGGAGCCAATCTGAAAGCAGCTCGAGCAAGGAATCTAGGTTTTCACAAGTATTTGCATTTGGAGTATATATTAAGGGCAATTACTTTATATATAAACTCAAATATTGTCCTTGTGACCTTGTCATTGCTAAATAAAATGTCCCATTAATTCGTTTTTCTAATTTTTTTGGTACAATCCAACGGTAATAACATAATCATTCTGTTTGCTACAAAGTCATAATGTTTTAGTTATTTGGTTGAAAATGCAATTTCCTACGAATATACATATTTTATAGGTTTTTTACTTGAATATTACTAATTTTGAACCATTTACCAAAAATGTGATCACTTTTAAAAGGGGCAAAAAAGTGATCAAGAAGATCATATATGTGCAATTAGAAAACATGATGTAACTGCAAAAAATTTATGTCACTGTGTGTTCGTTTTTTTGTAACTACAGCCATCACTCATGTCACTACAACCACCACCCGTGTCACTGTAGTCACCACCCATGTCACTACAACCACCGCCCGTGTCACTGTAGCCACCGCCCGTGTCACTACAACCACCGCCCGTGTCACTGTAGTCACCGCCTGTGTCACTATAGTCACCGCCCGTGTCACTGTAGTCACCGCCCGTGTCACTGTCGCCGGACACAACCGCAGTGACGCCGCCGCGTGCTATTGACACTCTGGCACAACCCTTGCACCTTGTCCTAGCCTAGAGCCGTCCATCAACCCCTCACAACCAGATCCACCCCCAACACCGCCCAGATTCACCCCCCAACACAACCGGCCAAAGTCTGCGACCTGCCAACCTCCGCTGTCAACCACCACACCCCAGCCCCTACCTCACCCACCCCACTCCCCTGTCTCATCCCAGCCCCTTGCCTCACCCACCTCACTCTGCGTCACCCAACCCACCTGCCTCACCAGATCTCAGTCCCAGCGGCCAGATTTCTAACCTTAGCAATGGAGACCATCACAGAAGGATAAATTGAAGAAGAAGGGATAAAATTGCAGAAGAAGAAATGAAATCGCAAAGCTTGTGCAGTCGTCAATGGATTCCAAGCTTCGCTCGTCGCCCATTGGAGCCATATCCGAAGCGTCGTCCTTCATCTGGAGTTGAGCGGATTTGGAGCAGACACGACGGAAGGACAAAGCTTGTGAAGCAGATCTGGAGTGGGCGGTGTCTGGTGGTGTAGGCGGCGAGATTCGCTGTCTTCGACGGAGCTGGTGACGGAAGAAGATAGGCGATGCAGATGCGCAGAGCTGGTAGATCTCGGAGCAGATGTGAAGAGCTTGTTGATCTCGGATGAAGATGCAGATGGATGCGGCCTGCGGGCGAACTGTCTAATTCACGGGAGACGGAGGGAGGGGTCACTTTTTGGGGAAAAACAAAAGTGGTTATATTTTTTGAAATAGAAACCTAGGGAGTAATAATAGGGCCATTGTTTCTATTTTATACAGCCACATTTTGATGTAAAATGAATTTGAATATCTTTATAGCTTTAGTACAAGCATACCTGAAAAATAAAAAACAGTCACTACAACATTTCAACACTATCATCCAAAAGTGTTACAATATCAGTGAAAAGTGTTACATTAGAGAAAATGTAACACTTTTTTATCATTACTTTTGCTCATGTTGCATTTGCCCTATTGTAACACTTTTAATCCCTAATGTAACGTTTATACATGTAAAAAGTGTTACACTAGATCTAAAAAGTGTTGCATTAAAGAAATATATAACACTTTTATAAGTATGTTACATCTTTAATGTTACGTTAGGTTTTAATACTACGTATGTAGTAGTGAGTATGGATTGCAATGACTTTGTTGTGTCACCGAATTTTTAAGCATATACTCCGATATTAGTTTTTGTTTTAAAATACAATTATTGTCATGACAATTATGGATCACTCAAAGTTATTAAATCACATTTTGTTCACTTCCCTTATATATTTGGTCATACATCAATACTATGTATTATTTATGTACTTTCACAAAGAATAAAATTAGTAAATGTAACTAAGCTAACATTAATGTACAAAAGTTTGGAAAGAATAGAAATATCAAATTAACATACTTAAGGATTCTAATGATGCCATTGAATGACTATATAATTATTACTACATACCCCGTACTTAAACAATGAATGGTTTTTTTTTAATGAAATGACATGTTTCAATTTATAACCATGTACGTAGGAAATGAAGTTGCCAACAAGTCGGAGGTGATCAATCTTAAGGTTTGTGTGTGTACCATTCAGTTCCAATTGTTGTTGTACCAAAGTAGTTAAATAATCATGTATATTAGCATATATAGTAATTAACAATGCCATTGTTAATATTGTTTTAGGGGTACATACTAGGAAACCCCGTAACATTTCCTGCCCAGAAAAATTATTCAATTCCATTTGCTCATGGAATGGGTCTCGTCTCCGGTGAACTTTACAAGGTTAGTGTTTGTAATTTATTATTTTCATATCAATTCCGTAATATTTTTTATGGTAAAGTCGTGTTTTATATATTAATGTGTCTTGTTTTTATTGGACAATTAAATATTCTAAGAGCATCTCTAATGCTATAATGTCCACGGTGCATATGTGGTATGAGTTATAGCCACATAATTATTAGCAAATAAATTATTTCTCTCCTTATTTGAATGATTTTATACAATTTTGGCAAGTTTTTCCCTGCAATGTCAACAACAATGTCAACATTAGACGGTTTCCTTGACATTGTGGAGAAAAACTTACCAAAATTGTATAAAATCATTAAATAAGAAGAGAAATAATTTATTTACTAATATTTATGTAGTCATCTCTCATGTCACGTGTGCACCGTGCACATTGTACCATTGAAGATGCTCTAAACTAATACTTCTATGCTGTTTAAGTGTTTAATTAACTACACAGGCTCCAAGTTATAATAAAAATATAGGGAAGAAAAATATCAAATCTTATGGGTTTAATGCAATAAGATCTAGACCAATATAATAAATAAAATAAAAACACCAAATTTTACTAGTCCGTTCTAAAAACAATTTTCTTTAAATAAGATGTGATATTTGATGCTTTGTTTTATGCATGTAATACAATTGGAATTAAATCTTCATCGAAATTAAAACACAAGACTCCAAATAATTGTAGCTTGTATTCTATTTTGTTTGAATGTGTTTTTATCTCATTGGAAAGTTGTGTAGAATAAGCCCATTTTCTTAATCAACACTAATTTTAGCACTCTTTAATTTTTCAATACTCCAAGTAGTTACAATGTAAAATTGTAAACATGAAATCTTATTACTTCAATCCACTAAAGAAATAGTACTTTACAATAAAATCATCAAATCTTATTGCTGCAAAACCAATCATCGACTCCAATTTCCAGTTCAATTGGATTGGGCTTATGATTGAAGAATTTTTTGGTACAACCAAACTTTTCTCACACTATACTTCAGTCCACTAAAAGTCTAAAAGTATACTATATCCATCCTCCAACATTGGGATAAGAAATTAAATAAAAGTGTGATTATTTCAAACAAATGAAATTATCTAGTTGATATTGAATTGATAATAATGTGTCAATAAAGTGAGAATGACTTGCAATAACTCAATATATTATTACATATTGCAGTACTAAATATAGTATGCGATAAATGTTGTGAGACAGACGGAAAAGGTAAAACCAGACAAAGGTAGGTGGGACCTATAGGGATCAGAGTAATACCTTAAGTATATACTACGTACGAAGTAAAAGGTAAAATGGACACAAAACTACTTTTACATATTTAACAAAAATAATGGAAAACTTCACAACAATAATCTTAAATGGTTACCTGCTTCACAAAAGTAAACCGAGAGTAATTGTGCTAACTTTTCCATTAATTCCTTTTTTACATTTTAAATATAATAAAGCAAAAATATATATGACCTTTGACAATATTATTATATTATATTTGACCTTAAATTTATTCCCACCATCTAATTTAATATTCAATATTTTGCATAAAATATAGTATGAATATTTGAAAGCATACTCATCAAATTCTTATTTATCTTTTATTTCTTATCAATATTGTATTTACTTTCAATTTAGCTTTTATTATAATAGACATTTCAAAGAAATTTCAGTAATACTATACTTCGTATTAAGTATTAATAGAGATATTTGTAATTTGGGAAAACTGTCAAATAGGCCCCCCTACTAATACAGAAAAGTCAATTAAGCCCCTGAACTCAAAAAACACTCAATTAAGCCCACGAACTATAAAAAACGAGGCGAAATAATCCTTTTAGCAGGTAATTAAGCGGCTAAAAAGAGATAAGGAAAAAAGGAAAGAAAGAGAAAAAGAGAAAAAGAGAAAAAGAAAATGTAAAAGCATGCCACATCATTTGCCAGACATGCAACTTAACTGGGAACGGTTAATATCCTGCTAAAAGGACTGTTTTGCCTTGTTATCTTTAGTTCGTGGGCTTAATTGGATGTTTTTTGAGTTCGGGGGCTTAATTGACTTTTTCATATTAGTAGGAGGGCCTATTTGACACTTTTCCCTTGTAATTTCAGTCTCGTTAATTTCAATTGCCCATTATTTATTAATTTTGTAACTTTACTCACTGTTCAAATTCAATTGATGAACTGTAAAGAAGAATTTGAAGAGATGGATGGCATGAAAAATGATTTGTGTTCTCAAGAACTCAAGGTGTTCAAGCAGGTTGGTTGGTTTTTGTACCTTATATTATTTGTCCCACACTGGAAAATTATAAAATAATAAAGTACCATGTAAAATTCTGGACGACATCTCATATCAGGTTGATCTTTTAAAATGAAATCTTATATTTTAACATGGTATCATAGACAAGTTCGGTTGTCATTTGATTGGTCTGTTTGACCAATTTATACACCCTTAATATTGTCTAGCTCGGTTCGGGCTAAGAGAGTGTTAAAACTTAAAAGTATTTTTTCCACACTGAAAAGCTATAAAAATAATATACTATATAAGATTTAGGACTATTTTTCCTATCAGGTTGACATTTTAAGATGAAACATCATGTCTTAACGATCATTCTTTCCATAATGAATAAAACGTGGATATTAAGGACCCTACGACACAATCAATAAGGATGTTTTTACTTGGACTGTAATTTGTCCCAGACCAGACCAGACCAGTCCAGACCAGACCAGACCAGTTCAGACCAGACCAGACCAGACTTGGATAGTTATAAAAATACAAAGAAACCAGACCTTACCAGACCAGACCAGACCAGTTCAGACCAGACCAAACCAGACCAGACCAGACCAGACCAGACCAGCAAATTACAGTCCAAGTAAATACATCCTAAGAGCATCTCCAATGCTACAACGTGCACGGTGCACATGTGGCATGAGAGATATAGACTCAAAAGATTGATTTTAAGACATTTCTCTCTCCGTCTTTCCACGGTCTTTTGTGTTTTTGGTAAGTTTTTCTCTGCAATGTCAATCACAGTGTCTACATCTAGACGTTGTGCTTGACATTGTGAAGAAAAACTTACCAAAATGATATAAATCCTTCAAATAAGGAGAGAGATATTTTATTTATTGTTTTTTGAATGGCTATCTATCATACCAAGTATGTATCGTTAACGTTTTAGCATTGGAGATGCTCTAATTCCCTCTTCAATTCTAGTCACTATAATTATGTTGATATATATGATACATTAAAGTGACTTTAATACTATATCCTCGGAAAACTGCCGCAAGCTAAGGACCGTCCAAAAAGTTTTCTGTATTTTTAAAAAATCAGCAAGAAAACTTGTCGATGTTTTTTTACATTACTTTATTAATTTGATTTTTTTCTGTAAAAGTTGTCACTTTCCAAAGTGAAATTCGATATTGTGATATTTAAGGAGAAATCTCTTATATGTATTTATTCAATTATTAAATAGAAATTGTTCAAAATAGAAGAAAAAATTAAGATTTTTTTAAAATAGGAGTAAATATGTTTTCTTCCCATTCTTATTAGATTCTGTTTAAAGATGACTATGGGAGTGATGAATCATATTTTGATACAATAACAAATTTACTCTTATTTGAGAAATCTCGCTATCTTTTAATCATATTTAATTTATGGAACTTTCTATTGTGGTATTAAATCCTCTAGGTATTTGAATAATTTGATGCATGCAGATGATAAGTGGAATCAATCCGGAACACGTTCTTGAACCCGTATGCGAATCACAGTTCATATTGCTAATGCTAACTTCCGGCGGTGTCAAATTTTCCAATAAAAGAACCACGAGATCACTGCGTGAGAAAAAACTAAATATGCAATGGTGTCGTGTAAGTTAATCAAATTAAACTAAATGCATACCCACAGCTCATAGTATTTATTAGTATTATTGTTGTTGTTATTGTTGTTGATGCTTTTGAACAAGACTAAAGATGTTTTCTTTTGGACTTTTTTCAGTCCCAGACCAGATCAGACTTAAACAGACCAAACCAAACCAGACCAGACCAGACCAGACTTGGACAGTTATAAAATACACAGAGACCAGACGTTTACCAGACCAGACCAGACCAGACCAGTTCAGACCAGACTAGACCAGACTTAATCAGACCACATCAGACCACATCAGACCAGCAAATTTCAGTCCAAAAAAACATCCTAAATGTTTGATTTGTTTGAACTTACCTGCGATGTACGAGTATCTTATAAGGAATTCCATTTGTACTCTTTGTACTCCGTAGAGGAATTTGACTTTGCCCCCATTTTGAGTGCACCTGGGTTAGTATAAAATACTTGAAAGTCAGAACTTCATAAATTTCAGCAGGATCAGCCGATTCAGCCGATTTCAGTGTTACCAAACGGGCTCTCAGATTATTTTGAAGACATCTATCCAAAAGACTAACCAGATTTTACTATCAATTTATTTTACTGATGTCATTCATCTTTCAGGGATCCATCGAACAATGGGTGAGATGTAGATCGATTATTTTTCCGAGCGCCTATACGGTCACAACAGGAGATAGCAGACAATATCATGCAAATCTTAGTCGTAGAGGTTATGCTTCATTAATATTCAGGTACATGTGTTTTTTAATTAATACTCCATATTTATCAATGGCAACTAATTAGAGTTATATATGATCAATATGTAACTTTTATGTTGGAAATGTAAAACTATCTGGGCTAATTAAACAACTATGGAAGTTTGGAGTAATACTTATTGAATGATAATAACAATTATGAAATTGAATAGTGGTGATCACGACATGAAAGTGCCATTCCAATCAACTGAAGCATGGATTAAAGAATTAAATTACACTATCACAAAGGATTGGAGACCATGGATTGTAAATGATCAAATTGCCGGGTAATTTATAAATATCATCATTTGACGATGAAATTATTATTAGTTTTAAAGCTCTTTGGGATTAGGTCATGAATATTAGTAATTAAAAGGGTTTGGACAAATATAAGTCTTTTTGTTATTTTTACCAAAAAAAGAGACCGGCGTGCGTATCATTTAGAAACTTAAATTTAATATGTCAAATGTGCCCTGCGGCCCCTGCCTAATCAACAGGCAGTGAACTAAATACGGAATATGATTCGTGTGTTCCTCCGAGGCAATGATAAAAAATACTCAAATACGAAGTATTCATTTTGTTTTGATATTATTCCTCAAAAAATTATTACTCCGTATATGATTTAGAATTATTTGATCCGATAAATTACACTTACATGTCCAATCAGTTACAATTATTCGTCTGATTAATCACAGTTACATGGTTTGACCAGTTACAGTTATTCGATCCGAATAGTTACAGTATCCGATCCGACCAGTTACAGTTACACGATCTGACCAGTTACAGTTACCCAATCCGACCAGTTACAATTATCCGATACAACCAGTTATAGTAACCCGATCCAACCAGTTACAGTTATTCGATCAGACCAGTTACAATTACCTGATTCAACCAGTTACAGTTAGGGCGGTGCACGGGTCGGGTTCGGGCGGGTCGGGTTTGCGAACCCTAAACCCGTTCGGGTTTTTTAATTTAAATACTAGGCCCGACCCTTTGATATTTCGGATCGGGTATTTCGGATATTTTTAAGTCGGATATTATCGGATATCGGGTCGGGTTTCGGATATTTCGGTTATATTAAAAAAATATATAATTGAATAATTAAAGTGTTTAAATTCCACTTTGACAAAAATTGTACACACTAGTGCACTAAACATCCAAATTACACAAATAATTTAACACAAATTGCACAAATAATTACACAAATAATTGAACACAAGTATTCATTTAACATATTCAAAGTACACACTACATAATTTAATATACTTCGGATATTTCGGTTATATTAAAACACATTATAATTGGATAATTAAAGTGTTGGAATGCAACTTTGACAAAAATTATACACACTAGTGCACTACACATTCAATTTACACAAATAATTTAATACAAATTGCACAATATAATTAGATTAATTACACAAATAATTGGATGCAAGTATTAATTTACCATATTCAAAGTACACACTAACATATATTTCGGATATTCGGGCGGGTCGGGTTGGGATTTTACAAACCCTACCCGCCACCCGATCTAGGCCCAATATTAATCGGATTTTCGGTTTCGGGTTTTTCGGGTCGGATATCCACTTCGGTTCGGATAATATCCGAAAAAAATATCGGGTTTTTCGGGTCGGATCGGGTTTTGCTCAGCCCTAGTTACAGTTACCCGATCCGACCAATTACAGTTACCTGATTCAACTAGTTACAGTTACTCGATCCGATCAATTGCAGTTACCCGATCTAACCAATAACAATTACCCGATCCAACAATCACTTACATTTACCCGTCTGACAAGTTGTACTAACCTGCTGCCGGTTACAATTACCCGACTGACGGTAATGGCCGCCATTTACACATAACCACCCGACTAGTTACCTCTCCGGCCCGATCATACCCGATTTGACAGTGACCATCCATAACTACCATCAACGACCATTACCGTCAGTCGGCGGCCACCATCACTAGACACCACTACCATCCAATACCTCCATCCGCCATCCACCACCCCCGGTTACCCGCTGGTGACCTCCAGTGACCAACCACCCCGCCCCTGCCCCTCGGCGGCAGCAAACCTCCCCCAGCCCAGCCCCTCCACAGCCCAGCTCAATCCCCAGTCTCGATCCAGTCCCTCCCAAGCCACAACCCTGTCACAAGCACCTATATAACCACTGCCCCATCCCCGCCCCTCCAACCCCCTCCCCAAGCAGTCGCCGCCTCATTCCCAGATCTAGAGCACCTACCCACTGCAACTTGTTTCTGCCGCCATGGACCGCCTTGAAATCCCAGTGGTTTTCGCCGCCAATTATCTGTAGCTATAGTGATGGTTCGAAGATGATTGCCGCCGTTATGGATCGTGTCACCTGTCGTCATCGCAATGGAGGTCGTTTGACACCGCAACAGGAGAAGTCTTGATGGTGGTCGAAAGGGCTAGGATAAAGATCTGCCACCATGAATATATATGCTTGTGCGAGCAAGTAAAGTGTGCATTGGAGGACTGAGCGGGAGATCCGTGAATTGCGAGGAGAGAGGACGCGGAAGACTTATTTTATCTATTTATATTAAGGGCATATCAGTCCATTAATTAATAGTCAGCCTCTTTTTGGTCAAATTGGAATCTGATCCCATATTTGTCTTTTCAAAACCCGTGTGTTTCATCCGTGTCATTATTTCAATAGGTTTTAATGAAAAGGATGATACAAACTTAACTACCCATTAAACTAGAAAAAAAATGACATGTATATTGCTACTAGAATTTTTCCGTACAAAAATATGACTAGTTATGCTTTTGGACAAAAATGTGACTATTCGTTGTGTACGAGTAATTTAACAATGGTCACTATAATATATTTAAGATTGATAAGTCACTAGTAAATGTTGAATAACTGAGAAATAGTCACTCAGTGTGTCATTTTTTGGAAAATTTTAAAATAAGTCATATTTTTTGTCTTTTGAATTTAATTTAGTAATATTGATGTTAAAAGGCCATTAAACTATGCGGCAACTACTAATTCCATTTACTTTTTGTTTGATATTTATATTTTGTGGTAATTGGTTAAGAGCTTTTTTTAATATCAGTGAATAAGATATATCGAAAGATAGATGGAATCGGACAATTATGCCATCTATAGCTTTGCCTTAGAGAAGGAAGAAATAGAAATACGCAATATACTATCGTATAAGTTCTTGACCAAAAAAATATCCCCCATTTTCCCATAATTCTTGCCCCCTTTTTGCTTGAAAATACAATAACAAAAGATGGAAAGTCAGTTGATCGAAAATATTCATAGGGCTTGTTTGGAAAATGGTTGATCAACCAATATTTAACTTCTTTGATTGAAAATAGCTGATTGAATTGGTCAAACAACTAAAAATATTTTTTGATAAAATGATTGTTTGATTTAGCTGATTGATACCAAAAAGGTAAAAGGGAAAACGTTGGGGATTGCCACCTTTGGCTCCTCTCTACAACGGCTTGTCCATTCATGTCCATGAAATATTCGTAGACTTTTCCAATGAAACTTGAAAGGGCCACAGTTTACATGTGTGTATGAATCATACAAGGCTTCCTTCATTGCATTGTCATTATATTTGTTGGGCCCAAGAATTTTAATTAGAAATTGGGCCACCGGTAGATAAATGAGTGAAACCAGTCGAGAAGGTAGCAATAAGCGTATTGCGTAAAGATAAAGGAATAATACAAGAGCAAGTCAAAGGAGGTGGTTGGCTGGTTGCACGTGGAGGACAAATAGGGGATCATTGCTAAACTTGGGGAAGGAGTAAAATGCATGTGATAAATAGGTTATTCCAGCATTCTTAGATACACACGATAAACTACGATCATACATATACACATAGTCCATTATTCTGTAATCCAAGCATATTGCTCAAGCTATTCATTATTGTAATTACCAATAATCAATTTATTTTCTTACATCAATTCGTCTATCTTCGATTCTGTGTTACTTGATTCCCTACTCAATTCCATCTTTAGATTAGTTTAATTTTAGCTTAAACAATATTCTTTTTTATGTAGTATTAATTTAATTAAATACTATATAGATTAGTTGCTTCTTGGTGGTAAACCGGTAAAAAGGTTTGCTGTCTTTTCTGCTTGGCATCCCTATATTATTATACTCCATACTCTGTATTTTTTTATATTAAGTATCTAATTGTATCTATCTTGTTTACAAGTTGTTATGATACTTGTAAATAAAATTTCTCTTTGCAAGAAATATGTAAAAATAATAAATATAAATTGTATACGTCTCTTTACATTCTTTCGTCTAGCCTTGTTTTGAAAGGAAAACGCCAAACTCAATCACCTACTACTAAATATCTAACTTTATCAAACACTTGTTGACAATAGGCTAATATAATCAACCAATAAAACATCCAATAGAACCAGTTATTGTCAAACCGCTATCACAATCATCTAACAACTAACAATCGATTTTCAAACAAGACCATAAACTCAATAGCAATTCTTTGTGTTTTTATTTTGAGTTTCTATTTTATTTTGGAAATATAAAAAGAAATTCTTTTGATTTTTAGAATTTGGAGTTATTTATTCTTTGTTATAATAGTGATAATCTAGTCGAAGACCCTTTTTTACTATCAAAATAAATAGAGAAGTCCAAGCATTATGGCTATTGCCTAAGAATAGGTGTAAGTATGCAAAAACGAATTTGCCTTTTAACTAACTGTATCCAAACTTATGGTACAAAATTCTATGCAAACCACCAAGTTTCACTATTAGTTCGCCCCTACTAGGGGTGGAAACATGTCAAGCCAGACTTTCGTCTAAATAGGTCGGGGTCAACTTTTGAAAGTGTAGGCCCAAGTCTAGCATGTTACCTGTTTAAGGCCCAAGTGTAGCATGTTACCTATTTAAGGCCCAATTTTCGGCCTAAGCCTGACCTTCTAGAAAGAGTGGTCTCGCCTGAAGCCTCTTAACGCGCCTGTTAACCAAGTCTGTCACCCAAAGGAAATAATACGAAATATAATTGATAGAGTAGATGGGCCCAGACCCCATGGCCCACATACTCAGAAGACCAATACAAGGATACCTGGCGCCCACATGGTCCACCATCGGCCAGAACCCACCAGATCACATAAAGTAACTTAGAAGCCTTGGAGCAGACTTGGTTTCCCTTCAGCTATTCTTCCGTCGGTCGGGCCCCTCGTCGACTATAACTACGTCAGTTGGTAGTATCTTGTGCATTTTATACCTAGCTCTAGAAATCGTGTAATCAGCCCGTATTAGAGGCCTTATATTGTACGGGCCTCCCAGGAGCGCAACCCACATTTCCTCTATATATACTCTCATATGGGGTAGTTGACTAGTTATTGGGGTCAAGAAATATTAATTACTAGCACTTTCTCTCTAGATCTATACTCTATCAATAATCAATATTATCTATAAACTAGGTATTTGATACTTTGATACATCAACAACAACAACAACATCCAAGCCTTAGTCCCAAAAGATACTGGGGTCGGCTAACATGAATCGATACATGATATCACTATCGAAAGGAAAAGAAAGAAAATAAAGAAAGATAAGGTATTATGACAAGGATAATATAAAAAGAGATGAATATACCTAAAAATTATAAATTAAAAAGGATAAAAATAATGTTTATATATATAAGGATAAAAGGATAAAAAAACAAAAAGAAAAAAAGATGAGGGGAAAAGATAATACGAGATCACTCATCCACACGGATACCCGCCCTCCACTTTGCTCTCTCTAAAGACATACCCTCATCCAACCCAAGAAGAAGCATATCACTTTGGACTCCCCTAACCCACGTTTGTTAGGGCCTTCCTCT